TTGTTCTACAACGATTTCAATCAGCACCACGTCGATTCGAATAGAACAATAATAAAAAATTGCGCCCACCACAAGATCAATCCAAAATATGTCGACACAATAGTCTCGCCGGTATGGCGATTTTCGATCGACGGCTGCAGCCGTAAACATCATATGTGTTCGATTTGTTACAGGTGCATTACACCGATAATAAACGTGTTATATTATTTTGAAAATGTATAATACTATAATGTATATTATATTCTATTGTAACTCGTAAGTCATCTCGTGGTTTAAAGTTGTATTTATTAGCTTAAACTTATTAATTAAATATAAGATTTAACTGAGTGCAAAACTTGGTTTAGTAGAGAATTAAATTTTCCGTTACTAATCAACATTTATTATACGGAGTTGGATTTTTCTCTTAACGAAAAATTAGAACGTTCGCCGATGATATCATAGCGCCATTGTATGTATAACTAAATTGCGCTGCGCTTAAAAAAAAAAAGATTTCATTCAATCGAATAAACCGAGACCGACCAAATAACTATTAAGCTCGGAAATTCCAAATCTGTTCACTGTATAAGATTCCAGTGTATATATATATACCGCGAGACAATTATATTTGTAATCTCCACTGCAGCACAATATGAATGGGCGACAATTTGAATTTGTCCTTGCCAAGGAACGCCTAATTACCGTATTTGACAGACGATAATTTAAACAATTGTCTTCTCTCTGACATTCCGTAGGTGGGGACCGGGGGATGTACGGTATACGTGTATAATAATATGTAATATTATACACGGGTACCTCAACAAGTTAAGTCTCTTGTCACTGAAGATTTATAAGCCGGCTGACCGTAGACGGCGGCCATCGTCGTGGCCAAACACTAGTGGCTTGACGGTGAATATTTTGTGTTGTTTCCCAATTCATCTACAGTTCTCCTTTTTAAAATTAATCATGACCAGTCAGATGTGTTTTCACTTTATCTCGACAATTGATTGTAGCCTGTATTTTATTTTATTTTTTTGTCTTCCATTAATATGCGGTTTTCTTACAAGCGTCGGACGACCCCACTATATAGTCATATACGGGGTATAACGGTCTTGTGATGTTCAGCCCAAACTGCGGAAGACCGCGCGTTTTCGAAACACCCTAAAATGATGTATTACATCGTGTCCGATTGATAAACGACACCCTGTGTGCGGTTATATACTTGAGAAATATCTTAAGTGACATCGAGTCAGTGGATTGGAAAATGTATTCAATCAACATCGAATAACATTTAAATTTAATTATAAATCTCTAACACGATAAAAATCATTAAACGAAAGAGTTTAAATCGTTCTAAGACATTTCCCATCCAAATGTTATAGTACAAGCGTGATATAATAAGAATTAAGTTTTTTTTTTTTTTATTCAATTCCAGTTTTGTCTTTTAAAATTGAATTATATTAAAATATATAATATAGGTACCTAATATATTATACCAAGTTCTTTATCGTCGTGAAACGAAAAAAATAAAATAAAAACCTATATAAGAATAAAACTTTTTACTTTCAATTTCAATTTGGTCATTTTTTTTTTTATTTAATATTGTATCTCTCCAAAAGAATAATAATAATAATTTCAAATTCTATAAGTTGTAAAAACAAATTAATTTTCAAGTAAATGTAATTTAAACTTCCGTTGTATATAAATATAACCATTATGCACGCGTGGATCGGACTTGTCAAAATTGTTGAATCTTCATTGTTTTTAGTTCACAGAAGAGTTCCAGTCGTTACTATTGTTTACAGAATCTGAACCACGGTCGTTTGATTGTTATAATTATTAATTTAAAAAAACTTATTGGTTCTCGTTAACATTGTTGATACACGTGAAACGAAATATAATAATGAACATCGTAATTACTTATAATATCGGTGTGAAAAAGTCTTAAATCAACAATACAATTTGCAAACTTGATCAATCGATTTTTTTCTCAACTTTTCACACTACCTGAACGTGTGTTTGGTAAAAACGCCTATTCGCATTATTACAAGTCAGTATTGGTGCTGACGGTTTTCTTTATGTTTCGCAATTTTTTTGTACGTCGAAAACAGACAAATCGATTGGTAATTCTTTTCGTTTAGCCGGCGGACAAGAGCGGAAAACAATATACAGCACTATATTGTTCGTCGCAGACTCGAGACTAACAAATTACCCTTTCTTTGTTTTTTATTTCCTTCGTGCACGTGGTATTTGTATTTTTTTTCAAACTTGGCTTTCAAAATAAAAGACGTAGTTTCCCAAACGCAATTACATTGCCTTTTTGAGTGTAACCGACCGCACTGAGGTGTTTAAACAGTATAGTTCAAATATTGTCACATGGTTTACAACGACTGTTTTATACAGTAGGTATATGAGCAACACACACTCGCGGTATTTCCTCGACTATTATAGCAACAGATTAATTTATGTTTTAATGGGTTTTCAAGAATCCAAGATTTCCAATTGCGGTTAAAAATCCAAGATGATAGATGCTTCGCGCTTAAATAAGAATATTAATAATTATGAATTGACAACGAGCCCCAAAATTATTATAAAATATGCCTCGATAATTTTCATTGAAATCTTATGGTATAAGTATGGTTTTTGAAGTTTTCAATACCAATACGATTTGTTTCTTTACTCATTCGCTAATCGCTGTTTCGGTATTATTTGTATTTTGACCTGGGAAATGTAAATATTTGTCTAACAATGATGTTTGTTTTTTACCGACAGATAAAAATTACCAAGCGTTCTGCAGTTTATAACAAAATCTTGATCATTTTCGGCTAATTTAAGCTGCTCTTTGAACCGTTAGTCGTATAATATTATTTGTTTGCTTTAAATATAACTGCTCCCATTTGTAGTCTATCCAGCTACTGTATCCCAAGGATGTTTGTATGCTCGACTTATATATTGGTATGACTGTAACATTTTTGTATTGTTTGTACTATATTTGTTTGAAGCCATTCATTGATGTACAAATTCGTGTAAGATGTATATTTTGTAATTTGAATTTGCCCCAAGGTAAAAATATAAATGTTCCATACGTTATAGTATAACGGTTATACAGTTAACTAAGTTCGTTATAAATATGTTTTATTTGATTAAAAAGCATTATGATCCAACCGAGTCTAAATAATGTAGTATTTAAAAGAAATCCATCCTCGAAAAATTAATTTAAAAATAGTAGTTAAATTTTATTCAGATTAAATGTCATAATACAATAATGTGTTCATTTTCGCGAAATCCATTTGTATTCATATATTGTTGAAAAATGTTTCAGTGTATAAAAGTGTAATATTATAACATACTATACATAAAAAACAATTTTTTTTGAAACTACAGTCGAGTACCTCCATATAGATTTTAATATTTTATCATTTTTAAGCCGATAAGTTTTCCACTTGGCCATTTTTTTGAAATCATATTTAGTTATAATATGGCGGCCTTATATAAATGGTAGAACGGACATGGATAAAAAAAAAAAAAAAAAAGTATGGAGCAAAAAAAAAAATGATTTACGATAAAGAGTATATGAAATGGTATATTTTACATGCATTATACCGTTGGATAGGTCTCGTCAAACGGTAACTATTCGAGTGGAAAGCCAGCAAACAAGTTAAGCCGCTTTGTTGGAGCACTTTTTTGTCGAAGAGATTACGATCGGCGAATAAGAAGCAAGGTGGTCGTTGTCGACGTTTCGCGTGCTCGTTTCTGTGTTCAATAAAGAACCTAAATCGAGCCTATATATCGCTTAATGGAACAAAAAAATAAATAAAAATCGATTCCGAGCGCACATCACGAGGTACCGGGAGAAAATGAATTTTTTTTTGTTTCGACGACTCTCACGTGTGTCGCGGGCACACACACACACACACACACACACACACACACACACACACACACACCCCGATGGAAACATTATTAACGATAAGGTTTGATGTCTCCTCGTTGGCGATTCGAACGGTTTCAGCAAGGTATTGGGTGTGATGTGATTGCAGGTGTGCAGTGTTTTATTTTAGCGGTGTGTGCGGAATGCGACGACGGTGCACTGATTTTATCCCAGGACACGGGTCTCGCGATCTCAGCGGGGTCCGTGTTTTAAAGTGTAAAATTAATAACGTTTACAACCGACCCCGCGGTTTTTATCGCAGCCAGTCCCTTTGTAATGATTTCGTTTTTCGACGTTTTACCGTCCGTCTCTGATTTATGGACAATAAACCACCGAATAAACGCGCCGGATTTTATTACAGTCACTTTGTATTATGGCAGCGCTATGTACACACAATATAACAATATTGTATACAGAGTGAACCACGAAGCATGCCCACTCTTCTCCATTTTTTTAAAACTTAATAACGGATTTATTCGAATTCTGATTTTGGGCGAAAACAAATTAGTGGTTACAGTGGAAAAAGAGAGGTATCATTCGAAAAATAAAAGTTTGCATCGTCACAGGACACTCATTGAGCGGGTAGTACAAGTAGGTTAAAGGCTTTTGAAATGTTGTCTTTTAGTATAATAGCAATTGAAAATTTCAAAAGTCAGATTTCGAACAAATAAATTATTGAAGAAGAAATATGGGGTGATTGACGAATCACTCTGAATAATATATTATCTATAATGTTGACCGTTATCGTAATGACTGCAGGAGCACATCTGAGCATTTCGCTTGTCACCTGCAGTTAGAAACTCGAAAAATTGGGCGGTGTGCATTAAGTTCCAACGACGGTGTTGTATGACGTGTAAAATGTTACTAAAATTAATTAGTCTGTTAAAATACGTTATAGCAATGCATACGATTTTCACACTCCGACAACACTGTATACTTTCTAAAACATTTTAATAGTTTGGATGTAAGGGTAATGGATATTATTATTATTATACTTCAATGTTCATTGTAAATAATGGGACCGGTGAAGTTTCCTCATTGTTATTTTAATTTTAAATAATAAACTAATAAATGTATTTATTTTTATTTACAGAGACTTGCAGGGAAACAACATTACGGTCATATCGTCTACTGACTTTGCCAACCTGACTAATTTACGAGTCTTGTAAGTACTTTTGTTTTTACCTTGTATTTATATAAATATGTATCTTTAAAAGTCAACTTGATTTATGTTTTTTTTTTGTTCCCCTCTTGCGTCCAGTTTGTTGGTTTTGTCTGGCGACCTGTGAAAATTTAATAGAGCTCCTACTGAGTATATTATGTAGAGGGTCGAGTGTATAAATAGAGGATGGTTTTCCGGGACTTTTTAAATATATTATATGCTTTATTATTCGAACGTACAGGGGATAAAAAAAGAACCGAGTAAATAAACATAAAAATTGTTTTTAAAATCATAACTTCAAGTGATTTTTGGCAGCGACTTAGTATTCGAACCACTTGAAATTATTCATCGATATTTGTAGCGAAAAGGGACAAAAAACAAACAGTAGGAATGGAGGAGACCCAGTTTCTCATTATTCGTGTTAATAAGAACGGAAACTTATTTTTTCCACTCCCTCGAACTTCGCCTTCAGACTTTCATTATTTATTCTAAGTATAAATATACACCATTGCAAGTGCGCCTCGCAGCAACTTGTAAACATAATCTACTGGTTGCTCGGTATCTTGTTAAAAATATAAAAATTCAATTTTTTGACTCCTTTTTTTTTTAATATCAAATTGTGGTACACTCTATTATTGTACGACTGCTATTCAATTTTCAACAGTCTTTCGTCTGATCTTTAAAAAAAAAAATGAACTCAAATAGTTAAAGTAAAAAATAAAAATACAATATTAGCAGATATTTAACATAAATATTCAATAAAAACGTACATGCACGCATGAACATTGGCTTATACATACCTCTTATGGTAGTGGTATATCTTGAAGGGGAGGGAGGATCGGTGGAAATGACTTTACTGAAATGCACAATTTGTATGCTATAGTGTATGAAAAAATTATTTTAGACGAAATTCTCAAACCCACCAAATGCAAAGATTATAGTTACGTAATATAATATAGTTTAAATAATTACATAAGTGACAACTTAAATGGATTTTTGATTGAATATAACAACTATGCCCTTACACTATAACAATAAACAATATGAATGATATGTTATATTTAATATTCTCAAAATATGAGTACGTTTAAGACATTGTTACAACAATTGAAACATATTGTCCTAACGGTGTCTTTAAACCATAGTGATAATACGTAATTAATATTTTATAGCTATCCCTATCACAATTTTTATCTATTGCGTTTTACTATCATCATGACGCCGTGGATCCTGATTTCGATTATCTTTGAAACTATATCCAATTTTCATACTTCCACAATTTATGATAGTGAAATAATGAGTTATAACTAAGTGTGTTTATAAATAATATACTCAACAATATCATATTTTTTAAACTTTAAAAAAAAAATTTTATTTATAAGCAAAAGGCTTCTGACAAACCCCCTCCCACAGTCGTATACGCCTCTGCGTGTGTCACATAATATTATGTAATTTGAAGATTTGTATTAAATTTCATTGAACAATATTGTGGGATAAAAAAAAAAAAAAAAGAATATAAGATAATAGATAATGTCGCCTATGGGTAATGAGGGCTCGTCAGTCACCAAACAAACCCCCCTCGCTTCATGCCTGCAATATTGATATTATTATCATCGCTAATTTTCACACAATTACTATCTAATCGTACGTAAAATATAATATCAGGTTTCGCATGAGTCCGGCATATGTGCAGTGTCATTCCATTTTTCGGCACAGCCATCTATATATAAATATATATATATATGACACAGACATTCCCCCTATGTGTGGCTTTTACACCCCAGGCATTTCTCACCATACTGGACGATTCCATGCCATCCCCGGCAGGATTAAAGGGATTAAATGTTTGAAATTTTTTTCATTGAATTTGTAGATCCGACGGCGTCGTTTTTCATAACCAGTAGACGAATATTTTCGATTTAAATAACTGCAGCCCACCAGCGAGTGACCCGCCCCGGGTCAGTGTATTGTAGTACAGCCTAAAAATATAATAATTATTTTTTTTTGCTTTTTTTATTTGGTTTTGACCTTCGTGCGCGTTCTATTTATTATTATTATTTATTATTATTATTAAAACCGAATAATAATTATCAAAAAATATCGAAATGTTAAATAAATAACTGCGAAGTAGAAATTCCCGTTCAGGCTCGAAATTTCCAACACCATCAGTCCAATACTATCAGTGGAATAAAAAAGTACACGCGAGGAGGGGAAGTGAGCGTCCTAAATTCATAAATTGACCATCTATTTCATAGTTTGGTACCTATGTGACTGATGAATAATTTGTTGATTATATTCATGTTTGAAAAAATTGTATTAATTACCTACGCTCATGTCTAATTAATCGGATGCGATAATAATAATTACCACCGAGACTACACTGCTAGTCCAATGATTTCATTTCATTTTTTTCTTTTAAATTATATCTCTATAAAAGAGACGCTTAATATCATGTACAAAGTATTTTTTGAACCTTGAAACTTATATTGTTGCGTATTCGAGGCGTGTTTTTATCTCAAATATAAGGGTGTAAGTTTTTGAACTGTAAGTCGGACAAAAAGTAATTTTAATAAATGGCAATATTTCTTCGATACTGCTGTCAAACAGCAAGTTGAGAATCATTCTTCCGTGCAGTAGGATTTGTAACCAATTAAATTCGTTTTCTATATATTGTTTACTTTATTCCTAAAAACGCAATCAAATCATTCGTATTTTTTTCTCTTCTTATATATGATATATACTCACCCCTTCCCCCTCAAAAGACTCTTTTTATAAGAAACTTTATAATTGAAAATTGTTCCTTTTTAATTGTTTTTTTTTTCTTATTTTTTCAAGGCAATTGTCGGACAATCAAATTCATACGATTGAAAAAGGAGCTTTCAAACATCTCGGTCGATTGGAACGATTGTAAGTGTATTACCGTCGTATAAATAAATATTATTAATTAATAATTATAGTTACATAAATAGTTTTTTATCGTCATTAATCATGTCCGAATATAATAACAATCTTTGCGAACACAATGGTCGTTAATTAAACAGAATGACCTATTATATTGTGCATACCTATATGGTGTGTGTGTATATATATACATGTATATTGTTAAGAATATCAAGACGCTTCGAGTATAAATTATACAATATTATTACTATATGGAGTCGTCGTCGTCGAGTTGAGTAGGATTGAAATTAAAATGTCAAAAGCTACTGCTCGTGTTAAATGTTTATGCATACGTAATCCAACGCATGAATAGAAGTGTGTGGTAGACATCTCGACGTTTTGACAAATGAAGAACGTAATAAAAAAAAATAAAAAAAAACACATGCTTATCGAGTCAACTACCCGTGCGATTATAGAACATTAAAAATAATATTCATAATATAGTGCTTGTTTATAGAGTTTGTAGACAGTTTTGGCAACATTTCCAAGACATAAAAAGTTTATTGTTTGTGAAACATATAGATGCGCGAGTGGAGCTTGAAAAACACGCGATATCATTCATTTAAAATTAACTTTCGAGCATACGTGATGTTGCACAAAACGATTGTCGCGGTCGAGAAATCGATAGGGAGGTATATAGTAGGAGGAACCTTGTAAAACTACCTATGTGTAACTACGATACCGTGAACAACTTAACAATTTATTATTATTATTATTATTGATGAATTGGATAAAAACCGAAGTGTGCGTAGTAGGCACTGTGCAGCAGACATTGAGTCGGGGCTGTAAAAAAGGTAATAGTCTATACTGCAGCGTTTCCCAAACTTTTTCTCTGCCGGACCCCCTTAGAGAAAATAAAAAAGATCGCGGACCCCTAAATAAAAATTTAAATTAAAGCAATAATAAATAATAATACTAAATTGTTTGCTTTATTTTTAAAATTAAATACACATATGTTTATAATGAAAAATTGAATTAATAAAAAAAAATGGATAAATAGATATATTATTTTTATAATAAATAATTAATGCGTTTAATGTGATGGATGGTGTTGTTTCTTTAATACTAAATCTGGTATTTTAGGATCTATATTAGAAAGTTGAATACGTAAATCTGATTCTATATTTAATCGATTTCTATATTTATTTTTAGTGTACACATAAGCTGAAAATCCTTTTTCACAGAGATAAGTTGTTGAAAAAAGCATCAATGGCCTTAGTGCTGAGTCCGATATTTCTGGATAGTCTTGTCTTATACTCAACCAAAAAGAAGACAAAGAAGATTCTTTGAAAACCCTTTTTAAATTAGAATTACTGGATATTTCGATTAATTGATTATCTTGTGTTGTTGTTAAACCAGTTATATCAGGGACATCTGCATTAAAAGGGTCTACTACCCAATTTTTATTTTTGTCAGGAACTGGAAAATATTTTCGAAATGAATGTTTCAAAATTTGGAGGTGTTCAATAATTATATCTTTTGTGTCCTGAGGAAAAACTTCATCGGATGATTCTATAAATGCATAAAGAGTTGGAAAGTGGTTAAAATTGTTTTGAAGGGCACGTTTTCTCCATAGCTTCAATGTTATCCTCCGTGTGAAAAATATTGTCTTCTTTCCCTTGTAAACTAATATTTAATGAGTTCAGAGAATTAAAAATATCAGCCAAATAGGCCACTGTACAGAGCCATTCAAAATTATTGAAAAGATTTGCATATTTAGTAACTTCCATAGAGTTATTAAAAAAAAACATTCTAATTTCATTTTTTAACTCAAAAACACGTGACACAACTTTACCTCGCGATAACCAGCGTACTTCAGCGTGCAATAGCAACTGCTTGTGTATACTTCCCATATCTTCACAAATTAAATTAAAAATGCGAGAATTCAAAGATCTAGCTTTTATTAAGTTAACTACTTGCACAATATCACGCAAAACTTCATTTAATTTTTCTGGCATATTTTTTGCAGCTAAAGCTTCTCTATGAATACAGCAATGATGCCAAATAATAGACGAATTAATTGTTTTTAAACGAGCTTGCAGGCCTGATCTAGTACCAGACATCGCACGAGCTCCATCTGTGCTAACCGCCACACAATTATTCCATTTTATATCATGACTTATTATAAAACTATTTAATATATTAAATATTGCCTCACCTGTAGTATTGGAAGGTAGAGATATGCAAAATAAAAAATCTTCAGTAATAGTATTATGATTTTCATAACGGACATATGCAAGTAAATTTGCGTCATTGCAAATATCTGTGCTTTCATCTAATTGTAAAGAATAAAATTTACTTGTTTTGATATTTGAAATAAGCTGTTCTTTAATGTTTTCTGACATTTCAACAATTCTGTTCTTAACTGTATTATTTGATAAAGAAACCGTACTTAATTCATTTGATGCTTTATCTCCTAACATAGCAGAAACCATAATTTTTGCAGCTGGTAGGATCAATTCTTCAACGATAGTATGTGGTTTGCCACTTTTTGCAACAAGTAAAGATACTTGATAAGATGCTGTTACAGCTCTTTCATTATTAGTTCCAATTGCAGAATTTTTAATTAATTTTTTACTTTGTTCTAATTCAGCTGCTTTCGATTCAAAAAATTGTTTAGATTTTGTAAGATAATCTGTATGTCTGGTTTGTAAATGACGTCGAAGTTTTGCTGGTTTCATGGACTCGTTCGATAATATTTCATAGCATATGACGCATTGGGGTCTTTCTTCGTTGTTTACATTTATATTCGTGAAACCAAAAGTTATGTATTCTTCCGAAAACTTACGACGCTTATTTACATGCGTTGATCCTTTTTTAGAACTTGTAGAATCGCCTTCATTTTCTTCACTCATAGTGGTTTCATTATTTTGTAACCAGCGTTTCATTTTAAAAAATAAATTAAATTAAAAAATATAAATTTTTACGTACAATTATTTTATAATATAAATTAACTGAAAGTATGCTACACTACGTATACGACGATACGGCTGCAACGAACAAACTATCGGTTATTTGACCGACGCGATCAATCTGTCTCTGACGCGAACAATCTGCAGTCTTCTATACGTATAATCTAATCTTAATTGCTTTTCAACGATAACTATTTCAACAATGTATTTATTATCAACAGTATTTCCCATGTAATACGAATATTGCATCATTATTTTCGTTTTATGGATAGGTATACTTTGTAAATTTTTAATTTACGTTCGCGGACCCCCTCCGGTATACGTGCGGACCCCTAGGGGTCCGCGGACCACAGTTTGGGAAACGCTGGTCTATAGTAAAATCTGATGGACCCCATCGCCGTCGTTGCCGTCTGTTGTGGCCAGGACGATCGATAGTCGATCACGAAAAGAAAATCGATTAATCGCAGCGAAAAATATTGAAAAGTGAATAATTTGTTATTCACACCGAACACCGGTCGGTGTAAAGCGGCTGTTGCAGGTAATATGTGTGTGGGCTTTGTTCTACAGCAGTGATTTGCACCTACGTACTTATTGTGCCTGCTGCGGACCGAAGGTTTAGAGTGTATAATAATATGTATAGGTAGGTAAACAGAAAAAAAACGTTTATAATGACACCGGTTGTAGTGACGCGCCGGGCTTAGTGAGCTAAAGTTAAGGCCCAGAAAAAACGGCTGCATACTAGTTGCGGTCATGACGTTTTTTGAGATAAACGGATATAACAGTTGCGGTCACATTAATTTAGGTAATATCTTAGTTGCGGTCATAGCTTTATTATACTCCAATTCCAGGCGAAATCTATAGTATACGATAAACATATATTTTGATATAATGCACACAGCGTATATATGTGGGAACACCACTACTTATCTGTAAAGTTTATAAATAAAATAGATTAAATTGTATACTCCGATCATAGTTTCGAATATTGCTTTCATTGTGCCTACGTCTTTTGATACGGTAAAACATAAAAATGAATTCAAAAAATATGTTGAGTGAAAAATTAAAACCATTACGGGTCGTTAATAATTATAAATTTCGATTTTATCGTACATTAGCGAATGACGTACAACGGTGGGTATGTTGTAAAAAAACATGTAATGCGGCTATAAAGTACGATGTTAATGGTGCCATTTGTGAACAAAATACAACACATAATCATGAACCAGATGATCTTCAATCAATATTACGACAAAAGGTTAGTAACAGTGTTAAACGTAAGGCAGTCGAGCAGTTTAGTGAGCGCCCTTCTAAAATTATTCATTCTGAGATGTCAAGTACAGCACTAAGTATACTCGACTCAAATGATATTTCTTTGATTAGGAAAAATATACATACTGCACGAATGAATATTTATCCGAAGTTGCCACGTGACTTTCCACAATTGCATGCGACGCTTCCTGACGTAATTAATAAAATACAGACGAAAAATAATGAAAAATGGATTTTTATAAATGATGTCCAGAACAATATAGTGTGTTTTACAACTCAGATAAACCTTGATTTTCTTAAGCAATGTGATTCAATTTTTATGGATGATACTTTTTCAAGTTGTCCTTTTCCTTTTAAGCAACTTTTTGTCATTCATGGATTTAAAAATAGCTCATACATACCATTGTTTTTTTCGTTGTTACCTAGCAAATGCCATAATGCGTACAAGACTGTATTAGATCATCTCAAAAATCATTTATGTGACTATATCCCAAATAGAGTTTTCAGTGACTTCGAACAGGCTATCCACACAGCAATTCAAGATGTGTGGCCCACTACAAATTTGAAAGCATGCCGTTTTCACCTAGGGCAAGCATGGTTTCGCAAAATGCAGTCATTAGGTCTAGCAAAACCATATATGAAACCTGGTGAAATGTCCGAATATTTGAAACTTTTTTTCGGACTTCCGTTTCTACGACCAGATGAAGTTGACGATTGTTTTGTCACAGATATATTATGGCTCTTCTTCCACCTAATAATTCAAAATTGACTGCATTTACAGACTAT